CGTCATTTTCTTATTTTATTCGATACTGTTAGAGGGTTTTACAGTGAGAACTTTGAATAACCAAATGCTAGAAAATGTTTCAATGCTAGAAAATAGTACACAATCGTTTTACCATTGCTCAGAAAACTGCTTTTTTTGCTATCAGTTCTAGTTCACTTATTACGGCTCAGGAAAGCTTTCAAAAATTCATGAAGTTTAAGAAGGCAATGTTTTTATACCTGAACCTAAACACACTGAACTTTTCACTTAAACCAGATGACCAGAAGAAACAAAATCAATTTCTTGAATGGCAGTGGACGCTTACAAAGAATTTTTGGTATCAAGGACTCCCTATTGATCTCGATTTATATCATTTCATATTTCATATGTTGGTGAATCCCGGATTAGACAAGACATCGAAACGTTAAATTCCGACTGCTCTGTAATTAATGATAAAATTATTGAGAAAATTCGGAATCGTTTGTTGTCAGATGTACTTTTGAATAAAAGCGAATCGTTATTATGCAATAGAAATTTCGAAAACCAGGATTGGAAAAGGATATTTTTTTTTCATGTTTACTGAATTTTAATGTGCGTATTGTTATGCGTTTACTTTTCTACATTGGCTAGAGGTATAGGGGGAGGGTTGAGATCTCATAAACATGTTTAACCCCGCCGCATTTTTGCGCCTGTCCCAAGTCAGGAGCCTCTAGCCTTTGTTAGTCTTGTATTATTTTTAATTTTAGTTTCTTGTGTACAATTTGGAGTTTAGTATGGCGTTCATTATCACTGAACTAGTATATATATTTGTTTAGCTGAAGGACGCCTCCGGGTGCGGGAATTTCTCGCTGCATTGAAGACCTGTTGGTGGCCTTCTGCTGTTGTCTGTTCTGTGGTCGGGTTGTTGTCTCTTTGACACATTCCCCATTTCCATTCTCAATTTTACCACTGTCTGGGTTGGATATGATTTATTTGTAAAGCTCCCGATGTTGATAAATACACTGAAAAAACTAAAGCTTCTTATACATTACTTATTCCAATCATTTGTTTTTATTTCTCATTGTATTATCCTCTAGTAAACAAACTTATTGAAAGTAGGCCAATAAGAAGGCATCTCATTCAAATAAAACAAAATATAAGTGATGGTATGAAATTTACCGATTATCTGGAGGGGGATTCACCATATTTCAAATGGACAAGTCGGTGTTTGAAGACATTACGCTGCAAAACAAAACCTTGTGAATGTACAGATACGAGTAATCTATGCGTCACTTGTATCATAACCGAAGATGTTGATGATGTCATGAATAACATAAAAAGAAGGGGTATAGAGTAAAATAATCCACACTATAGCAGCGAAAACATAGACAAAAACAGTAAGGAAAAAGAAGCGGATCAAGAAAATCATTTTGCAGAGAGGATTGTGGAATTTATTGAAGGATTTGAAGAAAAAAAATCATTTTTATTCAAAATTCATTAAGCGCTTTAGTTTACTTCTCTCAAAAGATTTTTGGACTCATATTTGGACACAATCTACTGACACACCAAATGTTGTTGCTGTAAACGATGTAACTGCCAGGTATGCACAAAGGACAGATACAAATGTAACAAAAAAGTATGTTTTAAATTCACAATAGGCGCAATTATCATACTTGTTACTCTTTATTTAGATTAAAGAAACTTGCAATTGTCAAAAACATTTTTTAGATCCAAAGATTTTAAAACCAGGATATTTAAAAATCAATGTGAAAACTAATTACAAACTATTTATTTAATTTGGAACACAGCATTTTATTTCAAAATACCAGTGGCAATTTTTGTTTTAATATCTTGATTACGATACGTATAGGTTAGACAATACTTGGTCATGTTTTATGAAGATTTAAAGCCCAAGGCGTAGCCGAGGATTTTGAATGTTCATAAAACATTACCAAGTATTGTCTATCCAATTTAGAACATATTCACACCTTCGAGTGACCTTACAAAATTATTCTTTCCCATAATGATTGTAATATTCAAACCTTCATAAAAATTCACTTTTTGTAATGAAGTGTTAACTTGGTTAATAAAAGGAATGTATGGCATATGTAATGATCATTTCAATGGATGGAATGAAATAGCACTGACATAGTTTTGTGTGGACAAAAAGGATAAATTGTTCAAACATTGAGTTTTTCTTCTGCTTCAGGTAAAATTTAATATTTATATATCTTAAATTTCTTGATTATAAAAGCACATAATGTTATATAAATCAGCTTTTTCAAATTGTTTTTTTTTTTTGGTTATTATAAAACTCACTCTATAATATTTGAATTACGACCATTCAACATCAGATGCTTACTTTCTATTGAATGTACATGTATTGTTTTTTTTTTTTCTTCGAAAAAGTTCCTTTGCTTTATATATTAGCAGTCTGACATTGTTTTCTTGAAAGAAAAAACAAATGGTGTTAAAATTGAATAAAAGATTATTTTACCGCAACCGTAAAAGAAACCGACAATTTATTTTTCCAAATTGGTCGTTACATCCACAGGTTGTTGAACAATTTTTGACGTAAGCGATCCGGGGACTCCATATGAGATCCCTTATGTATTTGATATAAGTGAGATATATTTGTAACTCGTAAACCATAATTGATAGAGACCTGAGGTCTTTTGATTTGAGGTCCTAGGGTTACCATAAAGAAAATGATCTAAATGTTCTCAATTTTGACATTTACTTCATATGGCTTCTACTCCCAAAGATTTATAGATATTGCCAACAAAATTTAATCAAAATGTTAGTTGTGACGGTCGTAACTGTGAAATTTTTGTCAAAATGGTACGCGTCATTTATTGGGGTTCAATGCATGCCCCTAAAATGGTCAAATGAACAAATTAACTAGTTTTAACTTCAAACTTTGCAGCTATCATGCTGTGCATGTATCTTATCTCAATCAATCAACCAAGGTCCATCCTCTGCTGTCACCGCAAACCCCCTCCTTTTTCAGATCCAATTTTATTGAAATGAAAATCGCCTTCATCTGGTATCTGCTTTTTGTTATAGCTGTTATCTGCTCTTTGGTGTTCATTACTTTCTTAGGATAATTTAAACCGAAGCGGTACGCTTACATGTAATAAGAGTTAGTTTTGTTTGTTTGACATGAGTGGTTTATTGGGGGTAACTAAAAAACCATAAAGTCAGAGAGGCTTTTGATATGAGGTCAAATCCAGGTGCGGGATTTTCTCGCTGTGTTGAAGACCCATTGGTAGCCTTCGGCTGTTTTCTGCTCTTTGGTCGGGTTGTTGTCTCTTTGACACATTCCCTATTTCCATTCTCAATTTTATCCTTTGTCAATAAGCAGGAAATTGAGGTCAAGGTCAAAGGTCAAGTTTCAAAATTCTTATCGCAACTCCTCAGAAACTGTAAAAGTTATCGACATAATGTTTTTGGCAAATTGTAAGTTTCGACATGATGCTTCTCCAAAACATTTGGGTCGAAGTGCTCTGGTGACTTTCGATAGGAATTTTCTCCCCTTAAATATTCAATATAAGCTTTTTAAATTATAACTTCTTAACCATACACATTATGATTCTTTTGATGTGAGATCCATGAGCTTTGACTTTGATATTGAATTAAGGTCAAAGATTAATTTGACATTGATGAATTTGATCTTTGTTATAATTTAATACTGGAACATACAGTATTTAGCATTAGAATAAGCGCCATACGGCCTTAAATAAGGTCAACAGGAAGGCACGTTGTGCAAACCGGAAGTAGCTTTCTTGCAATTTTTTTAAAATGTAAAAATACCTAGAAACCACATATTTTGAGAATCAGTGTGAAACAACCTTTCATATGAATCGTAAGCGATATTGGGTAAACCAGATGTACCAAATCATCTAGCATCCTGACCCAATCTTATACTTCGTCGATATATACTGTCAGCGTTAGCAATCAGTGAGCCAGGACGGTCACCTCAGGTTTAATGAGACCAGAGGTGGCAAATTACATGTATCTCCCTTATTTTTAGCAAAAGTATAAAAAAAAACCCATACATTTTTCGAATCAGTGTAATGAACGCTATCATATGACACCGGAAGTGGTATTTTGTACACAGGAAGTAGATAATTATCTCCATCATTTCAAAGAGAAATACATAGAAACCATATATCTTTTGAATCAGTGAAAATTAAGCTATCAGATGACACCGGAAATGACTATTTAAAACCGGAGGTAGCTGTTCATCTCCCGTATATGTTTTTGGAATCTGTGTAAGATTATTTCCTTTTTCTTGTCTTGTGCCGTTTGTTTTTTTCGACTGATTTTTTTTTATATTTTTCATTTCAGTGCCTTTTATAGGTAGCTTTGCGGTATGGGTTTTACTCGTTGCTGAAAACCGTACGATGACCTATAATTACTAACCTCCTACGTCATTTGGTCTCTGTCGGATAGTTGTCTTATAGGCAATAATACCACATCTTCTTATCTTTATAATATTTGCATTTTATCCCTATTTCCTTTTAAGTCATGTCAACCGTATTAGCAAAATTGTCTTGAAGAAACCTGTTTCAATATTAAATCTGCGGGATAATTAATGGACCGACTTTCTGACTCACAAACAAGTCTAAATTGTTAAATGACATACTAAACATATAACTGGTGATGAACACATAACAGAGTAACCCATGATGCATGCAGGTAAATCGTATTCTTTAAAATTGTAAAGCTTTGGTTTTTCTGAGAAGTCTTCTCTTAATTGTTGTTTATTTTTATGTATTTTTTCTTTACTCCAGGATTTTGTCTGTCCTATTTTTGACAAACATTTTTTAGATTGTCCCCCCCCCCCCCCCCCCCCCCACACCTTTTCGTATCATTTTACATTTTTCTATGCATAATCAATGTTTTCGAAGTTATGACAAAATGAAGGAAACAATCACCCAGATCAAAAATTTAACTGCTTTATGTAACACAAAAGTTTTTTAATACTAAACACATAATGATTAAAAAGGCAACTAAATACATTTTCTAACTCGTTTTTATTTTATTTTCAGACAACATCATTGTTGAACAGTTTCTAGTTTTGTCTTGTCCAACGTTTGAACAGTTTCGAGTAGGGAAGACAGTTAATTGGATCCCTGTAATGTAGAAAATGGAGAACTTAATGATGTATAAGCTTATTCAAATGCATTAATGGATTAAATAACACATAACTCATATCCTTTTATATAAAGATAATTATATACATTTCAGTAATATAATTGAAAACTTACTTATCTTTACTCAGGCCGTTAGTCACGCTTTCGTTATGTTATCTCGGTACATTTTATAGCTCACCATAACACCATATTATGTTTTGCTTGTTGTTGAAATATGTCCTCTGATCTTTGAAGGATAGTTGTCTCATTGGAAATCATACCACATCGCATTTGTTTTTTGTTTTATTTTTATATTTCCGTAAAAACAAGCATACTAGGCATGACGACATACAATTTCTCATATTACCAAATAAGAAAAAAAGATACATGTTACTTTATAACAAGGTTATTGTGGTGTGTTTTGATATTATTAAAAAGAAACATTTTGATAGTTCATTATAACTTAACAGTACCCAAATTGCACCTAGTACCCAATTTGTACCCATTTTGCATAAACAGTGAGGATATCTTAGTGGTTTTCTTAGAGCCTAAACAATTTGTATTTTTATCATTTATCATTGTCAACGTCTTTCAACAAGTCGAAAACACGAAAACGCGAAGAAGTCGAAAACGCGAAATGGTTTCACTTCTCGTTTTCGCGTTTTTTCGATTTCGCGTTTGTTAATTACTGACCACTTCTTCGGTTTTAGCCAGGTGGTGTCATTTAAAAAAAATTGGCCTGCTAACCCCTACTTTTCTTTTCATAATTTTATTACATATTGTTTAAAAAACCATTTTTGAAACTCTTATAAAATTCTTGTTATTTGTTTCATAGTTTTTGAAAGAAAAAAGGAGGCAATGTTAATTGTATGAAAAATCTAGAGAAAATCGTTTTCCGCCAAATTTTCAAAGGCTTATATCTCAAAAACAGGGACACAGACCTTGCATTTTTTCTGCTTTTTTAGTTCCATTATATATATATACTATCAATTTTAATGTTTTAACAGTCATTTACTTTTATAAATTGTGACTTGAATGGAGAGTTGTCTCATTGACACTCATACCTCATCTTCTTATATCTATTTAAAAAGCTTGTTATTTTGAAACAGAGTAGCGAGCATCCTTAATGCAAATAAATTCAATATTTCAAATTTTAAAAGGTAATGTTCAATAGATATAAGTTGCACATTACAGGAAATCTAAAATAATTATTTTAACTTGTAATTATTGTAGAAAGAGTATTAATCGAAACCTCAATATGACTATGTCAAGTTCTAGCAGGGAGTTTTTGCATAAATATTCTTTTCCGTTAGTGTCAGTCTAAAGTTATGTATTTATTCAGATTGTTTCCCTTGTGAGATTTGTTTATATTTAGGTGTTATGTTAATGTACATTTGTATTTGAAAGTAAAATACAGTACTAAATATTTCTACCAAGTATTACTAAAGACTTAAAAATATATATTTTGGAAAATTATGTCTGAACTGGAATATTAAGTTGAAATAACTTGAAATAAGTGTTTCAAAATCGGACGACATTGTGTTGGTTATTCTGATTGGTGCAGACGTCACTTAGTTTTCACTAGAATGAATGTCAACGAGAGCAGTGATTAAAGGTTTTTACTTACTTGAGTTCTCTCACAAATGTATCCCTTTCCTAAACGATTACAAGTTGTATCGTCCCATTTGTAGTTAGATTTGCACCAAAATTGAGCGCAATGATATTTGCCTCCCGAAGGTTGACCAGATGCCCAGTTAGAATATTGAACTTTTGATGAGTCATTGACCCATCTCCACTTCCCTCCTTTAGCATTTGCTGCCCCCATCCAGTAGCTTGTTGAAGGTTGACCTCCTTCTATTGATAATTTAATATCAAAAGAATAAAATAATTACAAATTATATGTCAAGAGATGTCGTGACTACTGATTTGACAATGCTACATGCTTAATATCCTGATTTCACTCAACGAATGTTGAGTATTAAATATTATTTACATATGTTCACTACATTTCTAATATTTTATTATTGGGGGAAGCACACCACACCTATAACTAATCAGACTATGAAGAAATTTAAGTATTATAACGATTTTTAAAATCGTGCCTGCCTAGCGTACAGTGACAAATATTTCATGTCTATTCAAAACGAGAACAAAAGGTAAGTTCTGTAAGTGAACTAGGATAAAGAGCGGAAAATTTGTACAGCTAGTAAAAAATAGGGTTATGGTAAATTGAGCAGAATTTTTGACTTGCAACAGGTCACCTTTAGAAACCCCATAAAATTATTGCAATAGTTCATCAACGAGTAGAGAGTTTTCACTCACCGTACACGAAGAATCGAACTTAACGTCCTTATTCCAAATATATATAGTTATCGTGCTGAACATGCATGAAATATTTGCCACTTGACTTTAAGCAATAAATAATCAATCAACCAACTAGTGGCTGTCTTTTTATGTTTCAGTCAAAGAAACGCCTCACAGTAGCGGGGGTTTAAATGCTGGATGAGAGTAGTAATACACTACTATATTTATAAATCCAAGGCATCCCCTGAGATGTTGGTGAAAATAACCTTTTTTGTATCATTGTTTAATTTGGTTTATATAGAGTTAACAACATACTATGAATAAATCTTTTTTTCCAAACAAAACGAATACTTATATTAATTGTTCCGAAATAACAGAATATCAAACAGAATGATAAACACGTAGAATATAAAAATAAGGAGATGTGGTATGATTGCCAATGAGACAGAATTCCACCAAATCTATTAAGTTTTTAAAATTATATTCAATTTTTCAATTACCTTCTTACTTGACACACTCGTAGTTGTTTACATAACATGAAATGATGGACTGAAAAAAATGCTTATCTTCTTTGCGAAAAACGAAAGAGTGAAAATTGGTGAACAATTCTAAATTAATAGCTTTATTCCATCAGGTCAAATCATTGTTTCGTACTCTTCTTTCGTCTCTTTCTTTTTTTTACTAAATACTATTTACGACTTACTTTGAATCATGTTAACGACCCATGAATCTTCGGAAGAATCTGTTACCTGTACAAGATACCCGCCAATATCCCGGCATTGCCTCTGTAATCACAAAATAATTGTAAAAAAAAAACGCATTTAGAAGTAGCTTTTATTTTGGTTTCTTAGGATTATACTTATTAATGATATGACTTAATCGATTAATACGAGAATAATATTCCGATCAAAGCATACACTTTATTAAGAAGTCTCTCCTCCACACACAAACCCCGCCCCCCCCCTTCCACCCCCAAATGCATTATTTATCATCTATTACTATTTAACTGATGCTGAGCGTTTTCTCTGAACATATTTTTATTTGTTTTTTTGCCTTTTGTTGTTTTGCTAAAAAAAACAACCTCAAAATCAGTATTTGAATAAAGAAAAAAAAAATATGGAAAGCAGTTGCCTTTTGAACACAGATAATATTTTGATGTACGTTGCAAGCGATGTCGATATTTACCTCACTCGTTATTAGATATTGACAAGCAATATTCTATTCTAACTGGTTATCATAAAAAAACTGGATATTTTAAATTCATGAATATTGTCAAATTGACTGCAAGGGACATTTAAGAACAAAACAACATATATTAGATAGTAACACCCTATTGGCGCTCAGTTTAAAAGTGGAAATAAAAACATAGTTTAACTTACCTCTGATCCATACCAATTTTTTGTTTTATCAGTAGAAAAATAAAAGCAATGATTCTTGTATTCTTCTTAGAATCATAAATAATTAATGTTCGGACGAGCATAGCGAGGTAGTAGAGATATATAGCATATAAGGTTAATACATACAATAAAGAGAAAAAAATACAACTCTATAAATTTTTAAGATATATTGGTAAAACGACGGAAATTATTAATTGGTCAATTTTATGAAAGTATACAATCTAACAGTTTTAGAATAGTTATATCTAATGGACACTGTACATCACTGACATTCATATTCAAAACGGGCCATGGTTTTGTGTCTTTAGTCTTTTTGAGGGACATGGTATTGCCTAAATTTCGACGTCTTATAATCATTAATAAAACTAATTTTGACAGATTACGTCCATATTAATCACTTTTCTTCTGCTCTGAAATACCAATATATTTTTTGTTTTATTGCTTCGAAAACATAACTTTTCTTTCCTTTTCTAAACACTAGGCAGTAGTAATTATAATAACTGCTAGTTATGTTAATTTAAAAAGGAGCGCAAAAAACGGTAAGACAAAAAATATAAAGAAATTGATTAGCTTTACTTCATAAATTTGATTTATTGAGTTGACTTAGCATTGCAACGAAAAAAAAAAAAAAAAAAAAAAAAAAACCAGTAAAAAAATTATACAGAAATATTTTCTTTCTTTCATAAACATTCATTACAGAAAAAAAAGTGAGTTTGAAATAATCTCACCTTTCAACTTGTCTTCCAAAGTCTTAAAAGATGACTGTATAGTAGATATAAGTGATTTTTCGCTCTGTCCAAGACAAGTTTCAGATCTGATCACAGAAACACAACCAAAGATCACAACTATTACAATTGGTAACATCCTGTAGAATAACGATTTGAATTTAGACAATTCTATCATAAAATTATGCCAAGGACGACTGGGGAATAGAAATATGGTCACTCTTGGTCTTCTTCCGAAACCCTTGACAAAGTGGGGCGTCCTTTTGACTGTGCGGGATGTACAAGTACTCCGCCACGTCCGTTCAGAATTGGAGCATTACATCCGATGCCCCGTGTGGGGAGAGTGCCACGCTCTCTGAACGTTAAGAACCCTTGCAACAACTCTTTGATGGGTCCGTATAGGTGGCCTGTTCAAAGGTTTAATTTCTGTCCCTATGCAGTATCCCCTCATTTTCCAGTGGCACTCCATTTCACCCAACATTTATCCCGGACGAACTGTATTACATGACCTACTTATTGTATTCATATTTAATTTGTTCTCGTCCTGAACATGCATGAAATATTTCTCACTGGACGTTTAGCAACAAACAACCAATCAATCAAAAAATAGCATGCTCTATGTTCATTTTAACATGGATAGGCATTATATTTGACCATATTTTACACCTCGCTAACGCTAACGCTGAGTGTAAAATATCGACAAATATAATATCAATGAGCATAGAGCATGACATGAAGGAATTATTTCTTAATTTAAAAGGTTAGTTGGATTTTCGCGTAGTGTAAATGTCTCAGTAAAACGCGAAAACAGCAAAAATTAAACCCATGCACGAAAAGACTTCCTCATATACAATGTACGGTAGTGAAGTCAATAAATGGTTAAGAGATTTTTTTCTTTTTTTGCGCATGAACAATGTACGTGATTTTTTTTGGTATTGATTTTTTGTTAATGTATATATAACAACTCTTAAAAGGGTCAGTAGGGGGCATGTTTTTCAAGATAAAATCATATCTACCATACGATTGTCTCCTTGCAGTAATACAAATTTCCCATCTGCCAGAATTAGTTGTTGCTAGTTTCTCGTCCTGAATATGCATGCAAATATTTTTACTGGATGTTAAACAAACAACAATCATAAATGTTTAATTTATGTTATAATTTTACTTTGATACAAATATCATTTCTATTTACTAATAGGCAAATTGATTTATCAGTAAATATATACAATGAATACTTTATGAATAAAATTATAAAATTTATATAAATATTATATAAAAAATTACAGTATATGTAAAAACTATACAGACCTTTTGCTAATGTCTTCAAACCGGAACAATGCTTGGAGTATTCTGAATTTCGATATTTAAATGCAACATAAGAAGTGTTACCTGTACGTGACAAACCTGCAATGCGTTATTATGTTGCAGTTATGAAATTACAGAAATTCATATTGCCAACTGTTTATAGTTTACTCCAGAGAAGTCTCTTCCGTTTATATTTTTGAGATTTTTAATATTTTGAAACTTTAAAACAACATTTTTTTAATTATGAATAATGGATTACTAATTTGTTTTAGGTCCTTTATGTACATCTCAAAACTCATTGTTTCGAATCGACAAAAAGGTCAATGAACACGATTTTCTGACATTTATTTTCTCACTTTTACTGAGTTGCAACTATAACAAAGATCCCTTCTAGCAAATACTTTCATGTTAATTATACAATTATTAAATATGAATTTCCCTAACAATGTTTAAAAAAGATTCTATATTGGACAGGTGTTGTCTATGATAACATTATACAAAACTCCAAGTCGCCCTCTGTATAGATACATTGATGAATACATTAAAGAGCAAATTCTAAAGATCTGCAATGAACACAAAAGTTCTCCATCTGACAAAATGCATGCAGATCTCGCATGAGACAGCCACTTGTAATGTTTAAGTAGTTTTATATATTCTGTTGTTATTTTTGCATACATAAATTTGTCAGGCAACTTTTTATTTTTGTCAGTTAATTTGGAAAAATTCAAGTGTTTTTCTAATGAAGGAAGATTGAAAAAACATTCAAATTGGTATTTTAAATAAATAGTTAATGAAATTTAGTTCGCCACCGATAGAAGAGTAGCATACAGTATAATTACTGATGCAGTTAAACTTACTGATCTTATACTTTAATAATACACCACATGCATCGGTTAAGGTATAAAACCACTAATTCATAGCCCCATTGCTTTCTATGTTAAATTCTGCAATTTCAAGCATTAATGGATACTTTGTCTTAAGTTCAAATAAAGTGGCAGTCATTTCATGTCAAAACTATACCTTATCCTGACTTGTGCTGAAAAATTCAACATACATGTACCTTTAATTGCATAAGAGCGTACTGGTTCCCGGAAGTTTGATAGTACAAAAATAAATACTTCTGATTTGAACAACAGGGTAAATGTGCCCTCCTATTATAATTTTATGTATTTTTTCATTAACCCAAAGAAACTTTTAAAAAGGATTCTACAGTGACCCCAAGTCCCCAAGCTTTCATTTGATACCAAAACTACCCAAATATTTCACCTATTGACAAAGATACGGCTATGCGTAGGAACTATTTTGTTTAAAATATGTACTACTTTCTTGTATGTTCTTTCCGACCGGGCCCGAATTATGGGTCTATACCTTAAACGATTACACTGTATCTAGATAATCAGAAACACTGGCACTTTTATCATTGTATAAACGTGGTCATTTACGCGGTTTTTTTTACAGTAGAAGAGGAAGGTGTGAATGTATAGGAATTTGTGATCCCAGTTTTGAGGACGTATGTTAGAACGACAACATTTTGGTTAATGTGATATCTTCTTGTACAGCCTACGGATATGATCGAGGATATTAACATAAAATGCCATACATAATGTGACAGTTCATTAGACCACACCAACAACAACAGTCTTGAATTTCTTACAAGTATAAAGTTAACTATCTTTGTTTTGTTTTGGTACTATATAACAGAAAAGAAGGGATATTGGGTATTCATCCATCATGTCCATGACATAAGATCAGAACATGCACAAAAAAAAAAAAAAAAAAAAAAGACAAAAAACAACAACACCAAAAGCAACGGAACAGCGCTTTTATGCTGTTCTTCATCTCAAAGTCACAGTGACTTTTGAATAAGAATGGTCAATTATCCTGTTTTCACTAACGAAGTCAGTACTTACCAGTTATGTTATGCATGTTTAAATATGAATAAGCTTATAAGTACAAGACAAGTTGAAATTCAGACTTAACTGTCATCATTGAAGGCCATTCGCTGATCTCATCTGAAATCATACCACCATTCCTTATTTTATACTGTAATCATTTAAATGAAATACTAGACGTACACGTATATAAAAAGCCAAATGTTCGCATTATGATGGACGACTGTTTAACGTCCTGTGACAAATTAAATACATATTCAGGACAAGAACTAAGTGTTGTAGATGCTATATGAATATGAACTGAATATGCTTATGCAATATTAATAAAGACCAACACGCCAAACCAGGGGTGGTGTTCTCGAAAGCATCCTAAGATTCGTCCTAAGTTACATCCTAAGACCAATTTTAGGATGGATTTAGGATCATCTTAGGACACTCTTAAGTTGTGTCTCGAAGCTATCTCAGACG